ACTGTATATTACCCAGTTTTGGTTAAAATAGGAAAGGTTCAGTTGTGCCAAATAGACTGATGTGAATGTACAATATGTATGTAAAAGCGCTGCGTAAATTGGTGGCGCAATATAAGTACCTGAAATAAATAAATAGATGGGTACCAAACATGTCAAGCTTTAAAAGCACCACTTTTAAAAGCCTTAGAGTTTAGCGTTCATGCTGAACTCTGGGTAGAAATTGTATGACCTCCTCAATATTGACACTTTCATTCCTCATTGCAATACACTTTTATCTTATCCCCCGTGTTTCATCTTTGAGAATTCTAGTGTGTATTATTTGAATCTGACCTTTATTCTTTGTGACATGCAAGGAGGCTCCCAGCCTTTTTTGATCTCACACAATGTCTGACAGGCCAGGAGTCTCCTGGTCTGTCACATCTCTCCATGAAGATTTAACGGAAGGGGAAGGGGCACAGTCAGAGGTTTGCAGGTGGCCAGGCAGGCTCATTCAGTACAGTAACTGCATGATAGATGTACCCGCCCACATTCACACCGTCAATTGTGCCCATTCACTACAATTCCCATTGCAAGATGGGTACTGTAGTTTCCCATAGGTGAGCAAGACTAGGATGTGATGTACATGCCTGGATTTGAATATTCTCTCCAGAGCAAGCTGAAGCTGCAGTTTTTATGAACTGAGATATGATGTCACAAATATTAGTTTATAAACCTCACTGTTTAGTAGAAAATTAGACTATCTAGTAAATGTTTGTTTTAGTTAGGTCAGTGTACAGATTGCTCAATTTTACATCCCCTGGTTCAGCTTTAATAGTTTAAAAACATTCTGTTGCTGTAGCAGCCCGGGACATGTGTGTAAAAACCCCTGTTGCTACAGACACAAGTACAACTAAAGGGCTAAAAGGGATCTTTTCACTGCAGCAGCGGAAAGTATGTCTCCAGCCCTTTGCTTCAGTTGTGATGGCCTGCTGGAAGCATCTAAGTTTGTCTCATATGGGTCTGCTGTCAATACAAATGTGCCGAGCACTCTGGATAAGGTGTTGGAAGGCAGACATTGTATCCAAGAGGCTGTAGTAGCCTCTGACGAATCACAGCACAGCCCGATTGGTGGGCATGCTCCCCCTACCTGAGTGCATGGATCACTTACTAGGTACGAGATTTAGCCCAAGGTGGCCGCTTTGCTGCCGTATAACTGAGTTATACGGTCGGAAAACTTAACCAGTGTGGGTCTTTTGTTTAAAGGATCTACAGCAAGTTTGTCTTCACATCTCTCTACCCTGGTCAGGTGGTTACCAGGTCTCAACCATTGTAGACAGTCTGGCATTGAAGGGTCTCCCTCTTCATTTTACCCTTTTTTTTTTTTTTTTTTCCTGTGTCTCTTCAGGATCTTCACTCACAGCAGTAGAGAGGGGGGGCTGAGGCAGTCAAAGTACGAATTTGTCTTCCTCTGAGTATTGGGTATCCCCTGTCCTGATAAATCATCTTTCCAGGTCCGTGTCTGATTTTAAAACAAAAAAATTAAGGCTTTTCACTTTAAAGAAAATTCTGTCATTGGTGAGTTCTCATCTCCTGAATCAATTCTGGATTTTCAAATGAGATGGTTCATCATAAATCTTGGCAATGTTCCCTGGCAGGTCTCTCAAGAAGGGCATTAATGGACATTGAGGTAGTTACTTGCCCTTAGCACCTGTGAGGAAAACGAGCTCTTGTGAGAAGAGCATTGCTTTGGATTTTGTCCCTGTTTCTGTCAAGTTTGATTTTTCTGGAGGGAGCCTTTGGGTCTGCTTTTCCACAGACTTGCTGTATTAATCAGACAAAATTCTTTAGGAGTGGGCTCAGGTAAAGATTCTTGCAATTGTTTGCCTGTATTTTAATTTGTGATAACTTTTTCATTAATTAGGTTTGCTAATGTTGCCATTAACATGTTGCGTTGATGTTAATTGTGTTTCAGACCATTTTATAGTAATACATGGAAGTACTCAAGAGGTAATTTATTCACTGAATCTTGTCTTGTGCTGCATCGGAGGATGTGGCTAGAAGGGGCTTGTTGCAGCGCTTTGTCACACAGTTATTAATATAACCAATCGTCAAGAGTAAAAATAGATGCTGGTTAGGAATATACTTTACATTCAAAGCATAACTCTTGTATACATGGGCATATTTGAAGTGTTTTCAAAATTAGTTTTGAAATTTGCAGATTGTGTATAAAAGCTAGTTTAGAGGTTTAGAGGTTTATAATATTCATTATGCTTCTTAAGAAATTGGAATTGCTGCCTTCTACTTTAAAAAAAAAAAAAAAAAAAAAACTATGAAAGGTATATATGTTTGGTGTAATGGTGTTAAAAGGACTGTAAATGGTCTGTGGCAAATTAAGCATATATCAAGATTTCGACTGGGATGTTTTACTTGTATTGCAGGTTTTTATGAAAAGCGGTCTTCACTATACTCTAAGCCGTTCAGCCAGTTGAGCAGGGACCATCTGAGATTTGAACCAATTATGGGCAGGCTAATTGTACCCAGTCCAATTGTAGGATTTGGGTCTACAGCTGCTAGCAGTAATCACTTTGTTTTTTTGTTTTCCTGGCAACCCGCGGTTGCAGGAAAGAAAATCGAATAGTTTATGGCCTGCTTTAGTACAACAGACACATATCAGGAATATGAAATGCTAGGTTTAGATACTAAGTACTTGCATGAGACCTTTATCTTCTTCTCTTTTGTATTGCTGCCTTTGTGTGAAATCCCTGGTTTTCTGTCAGTCCTTCTGCTTTCCTATTAAAAAACTGACCACACTAACCAGGCGTGCACAGCATGGTATGTTGGGAATTAAGTCTGCTCTCCTCCAATGACCAGACTTGTCCTGACTGACACCACAGCCATCCCGCCCTCCCCCCTCCACCTGTGCAGCCTTCACTGGGAAGATGCTGCTGTTTCTCCTCCAACTCTTAAGCAGTTGAGAACAGTGATAATTTAACAGAAAAAAAACAAAAAAAAAACCATAATGTGTTCGGGCTCATGTACACTGCAGCTGATAAAGTCACACTCAGGAGCTTTTCTGCGTTTTTTTTGTTTTTTTCAGCAGCACCTGAAATTACCCTAATGTTTTCCTATGTGTCCATGTACACATCTTAGTTTACGGGCATTTGAGTTTATCAGCATTTCAAATAGAAAACGCTTGTAAACGTGGCAAATTGTGTTTATAAGCGTTGTGTTTGAATATTTTTTGTAACTCTTCCAGTTCCCGATGCTGTCCAGAGCCTTTTTTTCATCATGAAACATGCATGCAAATTGTTTTCAGGGTACTCAAATGGACAAAACACTGAACACAGAATGTTCCCACCAAGCTTGTCACACATTGGAATGACCAATTGACACCTCAGACCTCTCCCACCCTTGGAAACAAAAGCTATGTTAATGACCATTCACACCTCATTCCTCATGAAGACCCCCTGCCAGGAGGCCTTATTGACTCACTCCACCAGACACCTATCCTACCCTTGGAAACAAAAGAAATGTTAATGAGCAACTCAACCCTAAGCTAATCTCAACACATACTGCTGTCTCTGCTTCTACTCTCTGTATTTCTCTGAAATAGTTAATTTACCACTTTTCAGTGCATTCTGGGCATTTGGGAGGTTCTCCTGTGCTTATCTATGAAAAACGCTTCTAAACGCAAATGCGATATGCAAATGCAGCTAAACAGATGTTTTTTAACCTACCTTTTCCATCGTTTAGAAGTGTCCCATGTACATGGGGCATTAAAATCTATGCACAAATGTTTTACCTTTTTCATTTCTATTTTAAACTGATGGGTTATTTCAAAGGTGAGGGTTTACATATACTTTTAACACTGTATTTGGGCTATTTATCAAATGAGATGGTAAATATGCCTCTTCTCACCTTCTCATTTTTCTAAAAGAGCCTCAAAGACCTCAAACCTGAAGGACCTTATGTGCTAGTGTGTGCCACCAATCCGCATTAAATGTGCCTTGAAAGTTAAACCCCGATTTGGTGGCTTTGGGTATGTATCACATTGGTAGCTTTGTAGCAGCTATGTTTAAATGGATACAGAAATAACTGCTATAGCACGTGTCTGTGCAACTACATATAACTGGGGTGCCATGATCAATGGCATTTTTTTTTTTTCTTTTCAAATCCAAGAACCCAAATAAGAACATCAATACCATATTGTACCCATGAAAAGTATTAATATGGCGCTTGCATTACCCAATTTATTTCCTGAGCCATACTTTGGGAAATGCTGTCCCAAGAACAAGTTGATTAATAAGGACCTAAGGAGCATGTTTATAAAGCAGTGAATATGACCTCAACCAAGCATTTACTGCAGGTAAATCTTTGGGCTGCATGTGCATTTTAAAAAGTGATTCACTACCTGTGAGCAGCTGAATGTGTCACATTTACTGATGTATAAAGATGCCTCTAAAGCTGGCCATACATGGGTCGAATTCCAAATGAATTTTTCCTTCATAAATAGTAATTATGAATTTTCGCTCGAATTTCGCTTTATTAGTGGGCTGCAGCAAGGGCCGTTTTTTGTGCGGTCATCAAATTTGAGTCATCTGTCATGTTGGAATTTTTTTTTTAAAAACAACCTAATTTCTAATCCTTGATGGGAGAATTGTGCAAGAAATATAATTGAAAAAGAAATGCACATGAGCTTTCGCCTGGAAAGAAAATATTCCTTGCCACAAAATTTCTTTTCTGTAGCAACATGAGGATTATAAAAAAAAGGATTACACCATCAGATTACAAAACGCACAATATTTCTGATTTTAGATTGACAAATCAGAATTCAACCCATGTATGGCCTACATATGTTTTTTCATTTCATAAAATTATTTTTGTTTTAGAATTTGATGTTCTATGTTCATGGCAACATTCTTCAGTAAGTGGACTTGGTGGAATTGTTTTGTCAGTAGTTTTGTGTGGGGTGTTTTTTGTTTATTTTTATAGTGTTTTACATCCTTGACTCAGTATCTCAGAAATTGGAACAGCTCAATCAGTTTCCAGACTTCAACAATTATCTAATTTTTGTTCTTACAAAATTAAAATCCGAAGGTAAGTGCCTTTTCCTTTTTATCAATGTTTATGGATTATTAAAGGGTAACTCCACTTTTGTGGGGGGAAAAAATAGAAAATAAAAAATATAGTTTATGCAATTATTACACAAACCATTTTGTAGTTGAACATTATTTAAAATTTACCTTACCTTTTTTTTTGAATCTGCAGCACTGTAATTTTCTCTAAAATTCAATGCAAAATGGCAAAACTATAGGTGTTTTGTACACAGTTGATATACAGCATGCCTCCTGAAATGTCAATTCCTGCTTGTGTGATCGGCTTACCGATATTCCCAGAAGTCTGCACTTAAGATACAGGTCAGATTTTAGGCATCCTCTGCAACAAAAAAAAATAGTAGTTTTTGATGAGATATTCCCAAAGAGTTGATCATATCTAAAGGGATGTGTAAGTTTCCTCCTTAGAACCCTGCCAGACCATCAGCAGATTGATAATGAAAATGTCACTCCCATTCACATTCACTGTGCACATTGTCTCACAGCTCTTCCTTTAGAGCAACTAAAGGTAGGAATCTGCAGCAACATTTGTCAGTGACACAGTCAGTTCCCCCCCAGTGTCAGAATGCCTGCCGCAGTCCCGCTATAAGTCGCTGATCGCCGCCATTACTGGATTACTAGTTAAAAAAAATAAAAATAAGTTGGAAACGTTATAACGTTCACATAAACCAATTAATTTTCACGTATTGGGATTTTTTTTTTTTTTTTTAGCAAAGACATGTAGCAGAATACATTTTGCCCTAAATTTATAACCATTTGATTTTTAAAATTTTTTAAAAATCAAATGGAATCTGCAGCAACATTTGTTGAACCGCTTCCCGACCGCCCTATAGCAGATATACTGCTATAGGGCGGCGCAGGTGCGCGAAATCACGTGTGTGTGTGTATATGTATGTATGTGTGTGTAATATATATATATATATATATATATATATATATATATATATATATATATATATATATATATATATATATATATATATATATATGTGTGTGATGATTTTGCATTTCCGGGTAGGGGGTGCGTGCGCCTTACTCGTGCTGCCGTTCACGGCCGTCAATCACAGTGTCCCAGCCGGTGATTGCCAAGCATCTTCGACAGGGAGAAGAACTGTATGTAAACAATACAGTTCTCCTCCCTGTCAGCTTGTGCACACTGCTTTGAATGGCTGTTATCCCCTTCCTGCCCAGTGCCATTAGTACAGTGTCAGTGCTTTTTTTTTTTTTTTTTTTTTTTTTTTTTTTTAGCACTGATCACTGTATTAGTGTCACTGGGGATGTCAGTGACACAGTCAGTTCCCCCCCCAGTGTCAGAATGCCTGCCGCAGTCACGCTATAAGTCGCTGATCACCGCCATTACTGGATTACTAGTTAAAAAAAAATAAAAATAAGTTGGAAACGTTATAACGTTCACATAAACCAATTAATTTTCACGTATTGGGATTTTTTTTTTTTTTAGCAAAGACATGTAGCAGAATACATTTTGCCCTAAATTTATAACCATTTGATTTTTAAAATTTTTTTTACTGGACATGTTTAAAAGCAAAAATTTAAAAAAAAATCTTTTTTTGTTGGTTTTTTTGAAAAAAAAGTTTTTGTGCTATAAAATAACAAATGCACATGCGATCAAATACGACCAAAAGCTCAATTGGTGGGGGGAAAAAAAAGGACGTACCTTTCATCTTGTCAGTGAGGCGGGTTATTCCTCCGGAGTGGTTAAATCCTTGCAATGTGCATTGATCACCCAGACAGGATTTTTTTTTCTTAACAAAAGTGGAATTGCTCTTTAACCCCCCCCCCCTTTCTGACCAGGCCATTTTTTGCGATACGGCGCTACGTTACTCTAATTGTGCGGTCATGCAACACTATACATAAATTGTGTCCTTTTTTTTTTTTTTTTTTTCCGGAACAAATAGCTTTCTTTTGGTGGTATTTGATCACCTGTGCGTTATTTTTTGCTCTGTAAACAAAAAGACTGACAATTTTGAAAAAGAAAAGATATTTTTGACTCCTATACAGTAAAAAAATTTACAAGGTCAAATTTCGTCATAAATTTAGGCCAAAATGTATTCTGCTACATGTCTTTGATAAAAAAAACAAATGCATGTAAATTAATTGGTTTATGTGAAAGTTATAGCGTCTACAAATGGCAGTATATATACTTGAATTTTTTTGTTTTTTATACTAGTAATGACGGCGATCAGCTACTTATAGCGGGACTGCGGCAGGCATTCTGACACTGGGTGGGAACTGCCACTGACATTCAGATGGCACTAATACAGTGATCAGTGCTAATAAAAAGCACTGACACTGTACTAATGACACTGGACAGGAAGGGATTAACATCTGGGGTGATCAAAGGGGGTTAACTGTGCTGTTTTACTAGGGAAACATGCTGCTGTGTATTTTTTTTTGCCTGTGCTGTACAGAGAAATACACAGCAGCATGTTCTTGCTGGCATGAGAGAGACCTGTGTTTACACACAGGTCTCCCCTGTTGGTGTCAATTGCCAGGTGCCAGCGGGGAATCTCCGTCTGGGATCTGGTGATTGACATCTGTAGCCGCTGATGGTGGCGTGGGTAGGGCAACGGCGCCCCCTACCCTGAAATGCAAATCGTGTGTGTGTGTGTGTGTGTGTGTGTGTGTGTGTGTGTGTGTGTAAATATACAGTAAAGGAAATAAGTATTTGATCCCCTGCTGATTTTGAATGTTTGCCCACTCACAAAGAAATGATCCGTCCTAAAAATTGAATGGTAGGTGTATTGTAACACTGAGAGACAGAATAGCAACAAAAAAATTCAAAAGAAATGCATGTCTAACAAATTATGCACTGATTTGCATGTTCATGAGGGAAATAAGCATTTGATCCCCTTCACAAAACATGACTTGGTGGCAAATCCCTTGTTGCCAATCACAGGTCAGATGTGTCCTGTACTTGGCCACCAGGTTGCACACATGTCAGGAGGGATTTTGGCCCACTCCTTTTGGCAAATCCTCTCCAAGCCATTAAGGTTTGGTGGCTGACGTTTGGCAACTCGAACTTTCAGCTCCCTCCACAGATTTTCAATTGGATTAAGGTCTGAAGACTGGCTAGGCCACTCCAGGACCTTTAATATGCTTCTTCTTGAGCCACTCCTTTGTTGCCTTTGGCCGTGTGTTTTGGGTCATTGTCATGCTGGAACACCCATCCACAACCCATTTTCAATGCCCTGGCTGAGTGAAGGAGGTTCTCATCCAAGATTTGACAGTACATTGCCCTGTCCATTGTCCCTTTTGATGCGGTGCAGATGTCCTGTCCACTTAGCAGAAAAACACCCCCAAAGCAGAATGTTTCCACCACCATGATTGACAGTTGGGATGGTGTTATTGGGGTCATAGGCAGCATTCCTCCTCCTCCAAACACGGCAAGTTGAGTTGATGCCAAAGAGCTCGATTTTGGTCTCATCTGACCACAACATTTTCAACCAGTCCTCCTCTGCATCATTCAGATGTTCAGTGGCAAACTTCAGATGGGCCTGGACATGTGCTTTCTTGAGCAGAGGGACCCTGTGGGCACTGCAGGATTTCAATCCTTGTCGGAGTAGTGTGTTACCAATTGTTTTCTTGGTGACTGTGGTCCCAGCTGCCTGGAGATCATTGACACAATCCTCACGTGTTGTTCTGGGATGATTCCTCACTGTTCTCATGATCATTGACCCTCCACGAGGTGAGATGCTGCATGGTGCACCAGACCTAGGGAGACTGACAGTTGTTTTGTGTTTCTTCCATTTGGAAATGATTGCACCAACTGTTGTCACCTTCTCACCAAGCTGCGTGGCGATAGTTTGGTAGCCCAGTCCAGCCTTGTGTAGGTCTACAATCTTGTCCCTGACATCCTTGGACAGCTCTTTGGTCTCTGCCATGGTGGAGAGTTTGGAATCTGATTGTTTTATTGCTCCTGTGGACAGGTCTTCCTTTTTTTTTTTTTTTTTTTTTTTTTTTTTTAAATACAGGTAACAAAATGAGATTGACTGCACTCCCTTTAAGAGACTGCTTCTAATCTCAGCTTGTTACCTGTATGAAAGACACCTGGTAGCCAGAAAGCCTGCTGAATGATAGGGGATCAAATATTTATTTCCCTCATGAACATGCAAATCAGTGCATAATTTGTTAGACATGCATTTCTTTTGATTTTTTTTGTTGCTATTCTGTCTGTGTTACAATACACCTACCATTCGATTTTTTTGACTGATCATTTCTTTGCGAGTAGGCAAACCTTCAAAATCAGCAGGGGATCAAATACTTATTTCCTTCACTGTATATTTGTATGTGATGAAAGAGCAATACAATACAAGTGAAATTGGTGAACTGATCGCGTTCTATCAAGTAAACACAGTAGATGTGTTTTTATTTCCAATCCAGGCCAATTTTCCGCTTTTAGCACTATCACACTTGACAGTTACTCAGTCATGCAACACTGTACCCTTTTGAAATTGTATCCCTTTTTTGAAACCGAGCTTTCTTTTGGTAGTATTTAATCACTACTGGGTTTTTATTTTTTGCTATAGAAATTAAAAAAAAATACTGAATTTTGTTTTTTTTTTTTTACACAAAAAAAAACTAATTTTTTGCTTAGTTTGTGTTATAAACTTTTGCAATTTTTTTGTCATAAATTTAGGCCAAAATGTATTCTGCTACATTTTTGGGGCAAAAATAACCCAAAACAGTGTATATTTAGTCTGTGTGAAAGCTATAGAATCTACAAGCTATGGGCTATATAATTGAAAATTGATCAGTTGAGACTCTAAAATGCCGGATGCTGGTATGACGTATGGCAATGATCAGGGGTATGGGGTGTTGCGATGTTGAGGACGTTGGCATGATGTATGGGGGTGATCAGGATGTTGGTATGGCAGTAGTCAGGATGCTGGTATGGGGCATGGCAGCGACCAGGGTGTGGGTATGGGGCATAACAGAGTTTTTGTGCGCAGTGGGACAGGTGACATTTATTACGGATATACTGGGGCAGTGATCAGGGACACGGGCACTAAACTGGGACA